TGGGAAAGGCACTAGAGCTGGGCCCTAATCATACCCATTTAGGGGTCCCCATACTTAGCAGAGAGCCTGCCTCTAGCAGGAGATGATATGTGCTTGCGGAGTGTATAAATGTTGGATCCAATGAAAATAGAGGACGCATGGCTGAGAGGCAAGGTGTGGCTGAGGGACTGTGGAGTATGGGGGTGGCTGGCCACTGAGCCTCTAACAGCCCACCAAGTGCAGTTCAGTTGACTGTGACCCCACCAACCAGACTGACATTCTTCAGTTTTCAGCTTTCCATTTTTTCCAGGACCAAACACATCCTGGGAAACATCTGCTGGAGCAGTGAGTAGACGGTGTAAGGGAGCAGCCGGAGGAAACGTGGGAGAAATCTGCTAGGAGCAGACGGAGGAAGCCTTGAGTTCCAGGCCAAAAAGCTTAGCCTTTTCCTCTGGGCAAGTGGTGGCCATTGGGATCTCTGAACAGTTTGGGGGAAGATTAATGTGGGTCTCTAAGAAAAATGTACTGAGCATGGGGGGGGCGGTGCAGGAGAAAGCTTCCAGAAGTGGCTCCTACCGTTGAAAATGTGCAAACTCTTTGATCTAGAAATTTGATTTCTGGACATTTGCCCAAGGAGATCACTGGACACACACAGAAAAAAACAATCTCTGGAGATCCTTGCAGTGTAGTCTAAGACAGAGAGCACTGGGACACAGCTGCCTCTGGGGGTACAGCATAGAGCAGGCCAGCTGCTCCAGCAGCCCGGCTCCCCGTTTTTCCCCTCCTGCCCCTCACCTCAGGGTCTGTGCACCAGCTGTTCCCTCTGCCTGGAGTGCTTTTCCTCTGCCCAGTTATATGACTCACTCCTTCCCAGCTCTGCTTAAATGCCCCCTTCTCCGCGACACCTTCCCTGACCACCCTATGAAATTTCCTTCCTTCCCCCGGTTAACCAAACCCCTGTCGCCCCATGCCCCCCGTTTTACTTTTATCACCTGGTACCACCTGACGTACTCCACAGTCTACCTGTCTTGTGTACCTGTCTCCACTGTCCCCTAACCACATGCGCACTGGCACACGAACCGCACACAGGCAGGGATCGTTGTCCGTTCCGCACGCTGTCGGATCCCCAGGGCTAGGGCAGCACCTGGCACCCAGGGAGCCCCCAGTGAAGATTTGTCGAACGAGTGTGTGAATGAATGAATGAATGAATGACGGGTAGGTGGATCTCTAAGTGTGTGGCTCACGTGCGACCTCAGCTTGAGCACTAGGGAACAGGCCAGGGGGGTGCCTTGCTGCTGCAGGCCCTCGGGGTCTCGGCAGATGGATGCTGGCCTGAGCTCCTCGGTGCCCTACCGACAGGTGTCCAAAGTGCAGTGGACACTCTCAAATTAATTACGCCTGGCCTTGGCCCTCGGTGGGCTCATTTCCTATCATAATGAAACCCTTCTCAGCATAGCCACACTCGATTAAAAGGTCACAGCACTTACACAGCAGCTGTGTTGTACCGGGAAGGACTCCGGGCCGTGAGTCAGAAGACGTGGACTCACATCGCAAGTATCTACCCATTTCTCTCTCTTGGGAAAGACCCTTCGCTTCTCTCAGCCTCAGTTTTCTTGTCTGTGAGATGGGAATAGTAACAGTAGCTATGTCACAGGGTGTTGTGAAGATCAAACCATTTTTGTAGTTGATTTTTATCAATTGAAAAGCATCACAAAGATAACCCAACATTATGTGATTCTCGAATGAATGAGGGCAGGTGTTCCCATGCTTCATTTATGAATGAAGGCATATTTGGCACCAGGGAAAAGGAAGGGAAGGTGGTGCACAGGCACAGAAGGAGGGGGACACCTTCTGAGTTCTTCCCAGCCCAGAATCCTAACGTAAGTGCCACGTGGCGGTACTTGGAGCTCATTTTCCTTGTCCTCCAGGTCTGAGTACAAGCAGAGATCTGAACTGTTCCAGAATTTCCTGGGGGAGTAAAACCTACTCCGTGTTTGGTTTGCATTTATTTTGTTCTGTGCTTGTGCCTGGGAAATGGTGAGGAAAGAGGCAGAAGGGAGGAGATTTGGCTCTGGTCCTGCACTCCATTAAAGGGAGTAATTTCTCTGAAGCTCAAGGACAGTGACAATTTGTGATTGGCAAGGGATCGGGAAGGGGCAGAGGACTGGTCTGTGAAAGAGAGTTTCCAGCCCTACTTGATGGCTTTAGGCTGCCAGAACAGAACCATCCTGTGCAGGAGCCAGGAGCTGGCCCTGCATCGGGGAAGGGGGTGACTCCATATCATTCCGTGTCTACTGACAGTGTTCAACTCATAACTCGCGTCTAATCTGCCCTCAGCCCAGGGACTCCCAGTTCTGCCTTGCCCAGCGCTTTGGACATGACGTGTATATAAAAATACAAAAATGATCTCCTGACGTGTATATAAAAATATAAAAATGATCTCTGTTTCATCATGGACTCTGCTCCCCCGTTCACTGGTCCCGCCTGCCCCTGGGACCTGCCATCACGGCGAGGAGGAGCAAAAGCCATCAACTAACTCAGAACCCATCATCTTTCTTTCCTGTAGAGAAATCAACAAACCCCAGCCATTTATGCATCCTGAATGTTTCCCTAACCTTGTCTAACTGTATCTGTGACCATTCCTGAGCTAAGGTGAAAAAACAAAACAAAACCAAACAAAACAGCTGCACAAGTTGAGTATGGGGAAGAAATGACATAATGCAAAAAAACAGTCAGCATAGAAGGCAAAAATGTTCCATCCTTGTGGTAACTTAGATTTACCAGCACTGAGTGCCTGGCATGCTACGTTAAGAAGAGCTGGGTCCATAGCTCAAGAGTGCTGCCATCAGTTAGCAATGTCTGCCCCAGGCAAAGGAGGGGGAACCGACGTGTAAATGTCATATATAATAATCCCCTCTTATATCTAGCCAAATCTATTTTGAGACATGCAATCAACCTAATGACAACTTCTCTGGAAAAGGTCTATATTAAATATTAAATGATTAAACGTCGATGTTGATTATCGTACGGATCCAGGTTTCAAACTTATAAAGTATGTGTGTGTGTGTAAGAAGGAAATCATTATTTGCTATCCTTTCTCTATCAAAACCTGCTTGAGCTCTTCAACCAGAAATCTGAAGAGTATTCTTTCGAGTATAACTACATGTTTAAAATCTACTCAGGCTTTCCCACTCTGGCTGCTTCTTGTTTCTGTGCGTAGCAAGGAAAGAGACAGGCAGAGAAGCAGGGCGGAGTTTCTTTGATGTACTTGGTAAGGTTTCTAACGTCTGACACATAGTAGGTACTTGGCAAATATTCATGGAATGAATTTTGAAGGATGAGCTCGGTTTCTGTGTATTTTTTGGTGATTCATGAATATTGTCACATAAGCTGAATTTGAATGTAATATGCCATCTCCTGTCAAATTGTTCTCCGTGTGAGCAAACATTATGGTTGTTAATTGGGCTAAGCCAGGTGGACATTGGTTGTTTTTTCAGTGAGGGGATGAGCTGGATGGAAGAAAGAGGGAGGGATTTTCCTGCCAATTATTCTCACTTCTGTATTTGCTTGTTTGCTGTCTGTCTGTCCCTCGTATTTCCCCTCATATGTTTCCCATCCTTGGACCCCTAACCCAAAGCTCTGGCTCCCCAACCTCAGTTCTACTAGCATTTGGTATAGGATAATTCTTTGCCACAGAGGACTGTCCTGTGCATTTGTGTGACATTTGGGAGTATCGCTCACCTCTACTCTCTAGATACCCATAGCAACCCACTACTCCAAGTCGTGACAACCAAAAATGTCCCCAGACTTTGCCGAATGACCCCCAGGGAGCAAAATTCCCAGACTGAGGACTACTGCTATGGTGCTGCGCCCCAGCCACCACCTTCCCCAGGAACATGGCTGGTTTCTTCCTTCTGAGAGATTTCAGCATTAAGGCACCTCCTGAGAGAGCCTTGTGACCACTAGGTTCAAACCAGTCTCAGAACTCACCATCCTGTCATGGTGCTTTATTTCCCTGCAGAGCACCTGTCTCTCTCTGATAATTTGTTGTGTGTTGTCTGCCTCTCTATGCTGGAATGTGAGTTCCATGAGGGGCCTTTCTATCTTGATTATCTTTCTATCCTAGGTCCTAGAAGTGCCCAACACCTAGTAGCTTCTCAATAAATGTGGTTGAATGGATGAAGGCAAGGAGGAAGTGTTCAGGGAAGGCTCTCTTTGGAGGTGATATCTCCAGGATATGAAGTTGTCAGCCATGGGAAGTTTGAGGAAGAGCATTCCAGGAAGAGGATACAGCCATTGCAAAGCCCGTAGGCAGGGATGGGCTTGGCATGTGAAGGTTGCTGTCAGGGGGCGAGGGGGAGATAGGAGGAGCAGGGCCAAGAGCCAAAAAGTAGCCTGACTGGGAAGTCTGGAAGGCCAAGCTGAGGAGTGCAGACCCTATTCTAAGAGTGACAGAAAGCCCTTTGGAGACCCCCTAGATGCCTACAAATTCTGCTCCTGGCCTCCGGTCTCTTTCTTCTCTCTCCCTGGTCTCCAGCCTCACCATGGGCAGGTGGGGAGGATTTCTAAATCTGGTCTGAACTCTTGAGTCTAAAGCAAGAGCTGATGCGGCCCCCGAGCCACATCTCGGGGTGGGAGAGGGTCCTCGCATCCAGGAGGCAAAGCTGCTCAGGCATTTCCTCTGTCAGCAAAAGCTAGCCACTTTTCGCACCGGCTTGGACCTGCCCTTACGCTACACAGGAAACCACAAATCCAAGCCCTGGCAAGGAAGGCCTGGACTCTCTGCTTGCAGCTCCTCACAGAAATCAGCTTAAAGAAGTGATACGTAGGAAAGAGTATCAAAGAGACTCATTATGTGCAGTGAAACCATCTGGGAGCCCTTGGGTCAGGTTAACCCCACCCTATCAGAGCCGCTTTCCTCATTCTGGGCTGCAGTGCTATGGCTGGGCTGGTATTGAAGGTCTTGAAGAATAAAGCTGAGTTTTTGCATTTGATATGAAGAACTTTATAGTCTATTCAGTATCTCCGGCATAAGAAGACTTTGGGTAATGATAACAGCTACTTTGTTTTGTTTTTGGTTTTGTTTTTGTTTTAATTTTTTTTAATGTTTATTTATTTTTGAGAGAGAGAGAGAGAGAGAGAGAGAGAGAGAGAGAGAGCAGGGGAGGGGTAGAGAGAAAGAGAGCACACTTTGTATTGAATATTTACCATGTTTTAGGCTCTATTCTAAGCACATCATGTATAATAGTTCACTGAATCCTCACAGCAAACCTGTAAAGACCATGCTATCACTATCCCCATTTTACAGATTAGGAAACTGAGGCCCAGAGAGGTGAATTAATTTCCCTAGATTCACTAAGGATTCTAAATCAGGTTTGGTCAAGAAGTCCACACTCTAACCCTTACATTATATTCTCTTTTTTAAACTAATGCCAGAATATGTCACATTATCTTTTAAAATGAATAAGCCATTTGCTTCAGCAATTCCACCCTAGGAACTGAGCCTAAGGAGGTATAAGCCTTCAGTGGCAGAGATGCATTATTATTTAAAATGTAGAACACAACCGGCATCTCCATGAAGAGGGGTTATTTAAATAGGTTGTGGTTCCTGCGTATAAAAAGAGCTGTTCAGAATGACATTATCCATATGTACCAACATGGAAACACATCTACACTACATTTTTAATAGAAAAGTCCAAGAAATTGCATTTTTATAAACAGCGATTTGGTTTGAACAATGGGATTGCTAATGATTTTTAATTTCTTCTTTTGGCTGGCCTACAGTCTCTAGTTTTCCTACAACGAACATGTACTACCTTTGTAATAAGCAAGAAACCCAATAAAATTTATTGGATAAAAGAATAAACAGCTGGAAATCATTCTCTCCTGAGGAATTAGCATCTTGTCTGACGACAAGGGCTACAGTTGCTTTGCTGGAACCTTCCATCTATCTCTCAGGATCTGCTCTCAGCCAACGGGGAGACGATGCAGGTGATCAGGGGAGGAGAGGGAGCATGAGGCCAGGATGCGCATTCACTGGGCTCCCTCTCCGTGAGGTCACGTGGAGAGATGGCCACTTTCAAGGTGTCTGAGTCTATACACCCTCCTGTTTGCTGGGTTCTGGTGACCTTCCCGTCCAGGAGAGGAGAGAGAGAAAGAGAGGTTCCCCAGCTCTCCCAGTGCTGTCTCTGTACTCCACTGACAGCTTTGCCACTAGTCCTTTTTTAAAAAAACTCTCCTCACATCACCAGAATTGAGTACGGCATCTGTTTCCGGTTCAGACTCTGACCGATACACTTATCCTATCTGCTTTTTCTTCTTCTCCTCGGTCCTAATCCCTAAAATAAAATGACTCTCCCGTTGACTTGTCCAAGTTGACTTTCTCTCCGGACATCTGGTCTTGCCCACAAGACATCTTCATTTGGACAACCGGGAAACTCATAACACCCGTGCCCATAACAGGACTTTGACTTTGATTCCCAAACCGAATTCTCTCTTTTCCCTTTTCCGGCGGCCCCACCCACTCCAAACCTCGAATCATCGTCATCTGCACCTCTTTAATTTGTCATATCCTTTCAGTGCCCAAAGCCTGTGAAGACTACCTCAGCAATGTCTTTTTCAAACAGCCCCATTCATGCCATTTCTCCAGTTCCCTCCCTCATCCAGGTCTCCTGGTGGGCTCCCCTTGCCTCCAGTCTCTCCACACCTCCTCTCTTGAGTCTGTGTTATGTGTGACTTCTGGCAAAGGGTCCTTGAAACACAGTTCTGGTCCTCCCTACTCCACTCAAAAACCCAAGGCCAACTCAGCCAAACCTACGCACCTCAATTTATCTCTTCCATAAAGAACTTCAAACACACGGAAACACTGGGTCTTTACATCCCCAAGGCTTTGCCCATGCTGGGTGTTCTGCTGGATCACCATTCCTCCACCTTTCCAAGTGTCCTCAGAAGCTATTCAACAAAGCTTATGCACACAATCCCAACCCTGGTTTTCTTTCCCATGAGTAACCCATCCCAAAGTCCTAATTTAGTTGCACTTCTTTCTAGGAAGTGGTTATTTTCCACTTGGTATTTGGGTGAGTGTCTTGGTTAAGATGGTTGGTGAGGCTGGTGACACTTATTATTTGTCTCTGTATCCCATGGGCTCAGCCAAAGGTCTTGGTCTAAGTAGGTGCAAAGTCTCTGTGGTTACTGAACGAATGGACCTTCTTGCTCTACAATGTAAAGCCATCGTCTGAGTGAGGAAGGAGGGAGCTTACCCAAGAGGGGACTACAGAGTCAGCCTCTGGTGCCTACCTCTGCAAACCACAGCCAGTCTCCAGGAGGGTGCAGAGACCTGAGGAGGGGCTGAGGGTGCCACAGCAGATGAGGTGCTGTGGGCTGTGACTTCATCAGACACGGGGACAGTGACCAGAGAGGTGGAGGAACTCAGTCCATTGGAGAAAACAAGTAAATGGCCAAAATCCCCTCCCTGCCCAATGCCATCCACCTGCATGACCACCCCTCAACTTAGGTGCTTAGATGCAACTTAGATGCAACATTGGAAGAAAGGAAACAGAGCTCTGGATTTGAATGTAATTCTGAAATAACTGAATTTACCTGAAAATGCCAAGGCTGAGTTTTGTGCTTCAAGCAGAAACAGGGCTCCAAGTTAGAATTGCACGGAGTTACAGAAGTCAGCATCTTTCATATCTGAGTTGTGGGATCTATTGTATATAAAGCCGTGTGCTTATAATGTGCCTGGTGCTCAATATTCGTAACCTCACTTAACGAGGGAGACCATGCAATTTATTGTTTTAACTGAGACGATTCTGGGACTGAAGGGGGTGCTGTTACTATCGCGTTGGGATGCAGGCTTGAGAGGACCACAGCTCATGGCTATCCTACAGCCAAGCCTTTCAACATACATATGACGAAGTAACACTTGTTGCCCATTTACAGATGGAGGAAACAATGCCTAAGATGATTGAGCCATGAGTCCAGAACAGACGAGGAGCCACAACCCAAGCCCAGCTGATCGTTTGCCAAACCCCACAGGCTTCCATTTTGCACAGGACCTTATGCTGGCTCTGCCCAGTTGTCCTATCGCCACCTTCCCCACCCGCTCTCTTCTCTCTTCTCTGCCAACGAAAACATAATAAGGCCATTTATGTAATTTTACATTTTCTAGTAGCCACATTAAAAAGCAAGTGAAAACAGGTGAAATCAGTTTTAATATTGTGTTTTCTTTAACTCCATATATCGATGCAATCAATAGAAAACAATTATTCAGGGGCGCCTGGGTGGCGCAGTCGGTTAAGCGTCCGGCTTCAGCCAGGTCACGATCTCGCGGCCCGTGAGTTCGAGCCCCGCGTCGGGCTCTGGGCTGATGGCTCGGAGCCTGGAGCCTGTTTCCGATTCTGTGTCTCCCTCTCTCTCTGCCCCTCCCCCGTTCATGCTCTGTCTCTCTCTGTCCCAAAAATAAATAAAAACGTTGAAAAAAAAATTTAAAAAAAAAGAAAAGAAAACAAGTATTCATAAAATGTTGTACATTACCCCTCCCCCGCCCCCCCCCCACATATTGCATAGCTCAACTCAGACCAGCCACCTTTCAAGGGCTCAATAGACACATGTGGTGGGGGTCCGTGGGTGCAGCCCAGTGTGACTGGCCCTGTGAGATCCGGCCGCAGGCACACTGCCATCTAGTGGGTGTGCTCCTCTCCTGGAAAACCATCTCCATCGAAAAACTGCATCCAGAACAACCCACCTCAGGAGTAGCTCCCCCAAAAGAATTTGAAGGGGGATTGTCATGTCTGAGTTGGCCCCCAGGGCAGATAGGCAGCCACGGAGCAAATTCAAATCAACACGCTATCAGGGACCCTCAGCCATGGTTCATTTCTGTTTCCCAGTCACATAAGGATTTCGCAGAAAACGATACTGTTTTTCAGGATGTGTTTAAAACCATCCTTCAAAAAGGCAGACTTCCTTTTTTTCACTTTCACACCTAATTTCACTGTATGATTGTACAAAGGGCTTCTCCCTAGAAATGACATAGCTCTCTTTTAATCCACGGTAAAAACCTGGTTTCCCCCAAGTTGTCTCTTTCTCTCTCAAATGGGGTGTGGTTGCTCAAGGATTCCAGTTAATCAAGGTTTTTTCCAACGTGAATAATTGACTAAGAACCTATGAGGAGAGCTGATGTGATTCTCGCCTTCTGAAGTACCCCACAGTGGAGGGGAAGCCTTAACCGTGACTTTGTGTGAAGAAAATCATGTAACTGCATCACTCAAGAGAGGAGTACTTGGCACCAAGATGGCTTGGCAGGCAGATTAAGAAGCAGGTGGGACGTTCACTGACTGGGCATTGACAGGGTCATCAGCACCTTGCTATCCTTGGGACAGTGCTGGGTTCCGTACAGACACAGACATGACATTCACCTTTAAGGAGACTATTAATCTTCCCAGGGGAGCCATACCAAAACAAAAAGCAAACAAACATCATAGAAAAACAGTAACAAGAAAAGACAGCATCAGGTTAGTATGCAAGGACTTAAACTGTTCTTCAATCGCAGCACGGGGCAGGCTGTAAACTGGATGTAAAGCAAGCATTTGAGCATTTGAAGAGAATGAGAAGGGAACTTGGTTCTGGTCTCAGCCCTGACACTCCCTGGCCGTGTGGCCATGTCTCAGCCGCACAACCTCTCTGATCCTCAGTTTTATCATCTCATACTAAGCCACAGGCAATCTGGAAAATGTATACTTACAGGGTGGGGAGCCAAGGAGAAAGGAAAGATAGACACCTAGGAATTTCAATGAGTGGCTGAGGAAGAGGTTCCCAGCATTGGGAGGGCATGAGCCCAGGTGCCGAAAGAGGAAGGACTGCAGGAAGGAAGGATATCAGCTGGCTCACCTAGAGAAAAGTGATGGGCTGGGATGTCCTCATTCTCTATTCCAGGGATAGTTAGCGATTATCCTGTTCAGGGGCAGGAAGCTGGCTTAAATTATTAAAGAGTGTAGACTTAAAAGGATCTTTGAACTAATCCAGAATAACAAATCTCAAAGGCTATTTTACAGAATGCTGGTACCTCATGATGGTTAAATAGGTATTTAACAAAAGACACCTCTTTGCCACAGGACTTCTCAGAACCTCTAACATTCTATGATCTTCCCAGGGGGCAGACAGTACACAGTATTTCCCAGACTTATTTAACTATGGAATTTTTTTTTTTTTTTTAAGGGCCATCACTTGAGAAGTGATTCAGGGAACAAACTTTGAGAAACACTGCTCTAGCCCAATTCTGCCTTTTCATAGATAAGGAAACTGAGGCCCAGAAAGGGCAGGAGGGGAGTCTAAGATTCACAGAGACTGTGGCAGAGACAAGACTGGAATTTCAGTTTTTTTACCCCAATACCCAGTAAATTCTTTCCCCTTTTTTTCTATTACCAATAGAACACACTATTTGACACATGCAAAAGATCTACAGAATTATCCATGTTGCCACCACCCTCTTAAGAAATAAAACATTGCCAAGGCACCCAGGGAGCTCAGTCGATTAAGGGCCCAACTCCTCATACTGGCTCAGGTCATGATCTCACGGTTCATGGGACAGAGCCCCACGTTGGGCTCCTCACGGAGCATGGAGCCTCTTGGGACTATCTCACCCTCTGCCCCTCCCCTGCTTGCACTTGCTCTCTCTCTCTCTCAAAATAAATAAATAAAAACTTTAAAAAAAATAAATAAGACCCTGGGTGACTCAGTTGGTTAAGCGTCCGACTTCGGCTCAGGTCATGATCTCACGGTTCATGAGTTCGAGTCCCACGTCGGGCTCTGCGCTGACAGCTCAGAGCCTGGAGCTGCTTCTGATTCTGTGTCTCCCTCTCTCTCTGCCTCTCCCCCGCTCACACTGTCTCTCCTTCTTTCTCAAAAATAAACATTAAAAAAATTAAAATAAATAAAATTAAAAAGTAAATAAAGCATTGCCAAGTCAGTAAAAACCCCTTGTGTAACCACCGCCCCCCAAGACTCTCCACAAGGGAACCCCTATCCTGAATTTGGTAACATAATTCATGAAAATCTTGGTGGAATTTCAAGTAAATCCCATCATCTTCACAGGCTCCTCTTAGCATCGTCCGTGATTTATAAATTGTGATGGGTCTTAGAATTTAAAAACAAAAACAAAATATCTCACTCAGGCCAGAATAGCAAAGATAAAAAGCCCACCTAAAGGATTCTCAGATTACCTACCTACACCTCCCAGCACATCCAAAATGTTATGAATCAGTGAACTTTTTTACTCTCAAATGGGCTCTTTGTGTGCTTTATTAATTCTGCTAGATGTGGGGATGCTTCTTCCTTAATTGTATGTGAGACTTTCATGGCACGAATTCACTGCACCTCCCCTCCCATCCACAGGCCAGATGGGGAGCCGGGTGCTGTATAAATGTTTAATTGTGGCACAGTAAAAATATTTGCTTTCAGTAGCTGGAAGCTACCAAATGGAGGTAGGGCTGTCTACTAGAGTTGCCAGACTTCATTCTAATGAGAACAGAAATAAAGGCTGATTAAATCAAATTCCCCATAGAGCAGAACCACTTAAATAAATGTTTCATATTGTTTGCATGATGCTTTTAAAATGTAACAGCTGCTTATGTAACCATTATGCTGGACATAAATCATTCATTGCCATCACCACCGTCAGAGCAGAGCCTGGCTCCTTTTCTTCTGCTGCTGACATTTTCATTACTGGGGGACTTTTAAGACAGACCATCTGGGCCCCCCTCCTCCCTACCCACGTGCTGGGTAGCAGGAGTGTGAGTAAAAGGATGTGGACTGCGAGACAGGCGTGAAGCGGACATTTACAGAGACCCTGTACTGGGTGTGTACCATTGGGCTGGCTTTCTCACGATTCATCCTCACCAAAAGAAGGCATTATTGTTCCTATTTTATAGATGTGGACACTGAGTGAGGCCTATGGCAATGAAGTAACCTGCTCAAGGTCCCACAGTAAATAATAGGGCCTGTATTTGAACCCAGGTCTGCCCGGGCCTTGACACAGTGTGTCTGAGAACAAAGGGCACGTCACCCCACCCACCAGACTCCACACACCTTATGCCTTTTGGCAATGATGAGATTGACAAAGGCCAGAGCAGGGCTCAAAGATCTAGGGACTCCTCTGAGCTGGGGCTGGGGGGTTGGGAGTGGAACAGTTCCGATCTGAACGCCATTTCCTGAGCCAGCACCCGAGTCCAAGTTTCTGCCATCTTTCACCTGTTCACCATGCCAGCCCCCTGCCAGCCTCCCTGCCCTCGTTCTCGCCCACCTCAATCCATCATTCACCCATTTGCCTCAGTCATTTCCTTAAAATGTAAATCACACCATGCCATTCTCCTATTTAGAAGCCTCCAATGGCTTCCCACCACGCTCAGAATAAATCCCAACCTTCCTCCATGACCCTCAAGGTCTTGAGTGAAATGACATATGCTGACATTTGCTTGTTCTTCCTTACCACTCTCCTGTGTCCAGACATCCTGGCTTCTTTCTGGTCCTCAGATGCACTAAGAACAAGCATGCCTCAGGGCCTTTGCACATGCTGAACTCTTTGCTCATGCTCCAGATCTTCCCATGGCTGACTCCAACCTATCAATCAAACCTCGGTTCAAAGTCACCTCCCCAAAAAGGCCCTCAGCTGCACCCTCCATTAAAAACTGCCCTCCCCTGGGCTCTCTTCATTACATAGCTCTGTGTCATTTACTTTGAAGGGCTTATTCTTTTCTCAGTTCTTGACTTGGTTATTATATTCTGGCTCACTAGAAAGTAGGCTCCACAAGAGGTGTCTGAGCTATTCGCCTCTATTTCCCCAGCCCTAGAGTAATGCCTGAAACATAGAAGGTACCTGGTAAATATTAGTTGAATAAATGAATTAACTTGCCACATCCATTTCCCCTGCACCCACACGAGGGTAAACCTAGCCTGGCCCCCAGAAAGAGAGAATTTGAATCTGAAAACCATTTGTCACTTCCAGGCCCAAGCTTCCTGCACGTATCCCAGCCTTGTAGGTGATGTCAGTCATGGCATAAGGCAGAGAGCTGGTGAAGGAAATCCAGGAGACCCTCTGGGGTTCCCTGTATCCACAGGAAGGAAGGCCAACCAGTGCCCCCATCTCTGCAAAGTTGAGCCTAAGGAGGAAATAGAACGGGGAGCAGGTTGCTGGTTCTGGCCAGGCTTTAGAC